GGCTGTGGTAATGCGTGATCTAGTCTGCATCGATGATGTCATGTATTTTACCTCTCCACGCGTGACTATTATCGGCAGTGGATCTAGAAAGCTCAACCCACTCCCTCCTTTAGGGAGAGAAACTGTATACCGAAGGTCCAAGAACTGCTTCCAACTGCAATTTCACATTTTCATGAGCTTTTTTGAAGATTTTGAATGCATGTTAGTTTTCAACAGCCACTCAAGTTTTTTTGCTCGAGGTTATCTTCTCTGGCGTTTTGGCTCTAGAACCTGACGACAAAGCAGCAGTGGCCGTTAAACGTATTTACTGGCGTTTGTCACAGTGCCGTCATTGGGGTTTAAGGAATTTTATGAGGCAGTCGACGTGTCAGACCTAGGCCCTCCGCATTCTGATATCACTGTCGCTGCTGGTATGCGTCCGTTTGTTCACCAGACCTGAAAGCCTGCTTATTTCATAGCTAACCTTCCACTTTGCGTCACTTGCGTATGTTAGCAGCTAGGCTAACAGGTAATCCGCCCCCCCCGTCCAGGCTGCTTGTCGGGTGCAACTGCTGAACTTAAGAGTCAAACCCGCAGATGCCTTGAGCGACGGAGACTATACAATTTGTTTGATGTTTGTACAGTTGGTCCTAGTCGTTCACACGGGGCCTAATTTTTTGTTTACTGAACCTTGCTGCTAAAGTTTGAAGTTCTTCGTCGGAAAAGTAATGCTCATAAGTCTGACGTGTTGGATTCCTTTACATTTATTCCCTCTTGCATCTCTAGCAATTTCCATTTGCGGGAAAAATGGACCAGCCGTGGTCGAAGAAAGCAATATTAGGTATTTTCGGGTTCTGCTTCTGTGCTCCGTCTCCTTGCCGGTTGAAGCGTCAATGTGGCTCCCTCAACATCGCCTGCGCCCCTTCTATGGACGTTCGGAGTTTGAGCTGTTTATGCGTTCTCAGCTGGCTAACACCAAGAACAAATTCAAGGTATTGCTCGTTTCTACTTGCTATAAAAGTATTCAACGTTCTCCTCCTCCTCCTTCTCCTCCTCCTCCTCCTCCTTCTCCTCCTCTTCCTTCTCACCGAGGGATCCCTTGTGGATATATTTTGATACTAGACGTAAAGACATAATATAAGCTGTATTTCACTTAACGGACGCCTTACGCGCAGGTTTTATAGAGATAGCCTAAAATTGACAACCAAGTACAATTTGATTAGGCCCCTTGAATCAAGAAACATAGCCAGCACAACCTTGTAGACTACCCCTGAGACATTTATAAGTTCCAACAGAATACAATAACATTTTAGAAATTACAAACAACTACTTTATCTTTAAGTTAGTTGGAGAGATACTACAGTCATGCCCTAAAACCTGCACAGCTGTGTAGGTTATTTCCACGGAATCTTCTCATTTACGCTGATGAATTAATCAAGCGCTTGATCATACATCTTTTTTCACTGTCTTACCGACTACATATGGAATAATTTTTTTCACATTAATTCCTAATCCGTTCAGTTTTGAAGGCAACGCTAAATATCTACCTCCTCTGAAATTTTAATGTTAAGCCTCTTATAAAATTATCCATTGTTGTCCGTTTGGAGCTTCTTTTAAGAGGCCAGCGTGTTTTAATTAATAGTGGACTACAATGTTTCTAATATAGGTATCTTGATTTGAATTAACTGGTTCGTAGATTAGGAGCTCAGTAAATACTGTAATACCTGATGAAGTCAAACAAAGTGGACACATGTTCGAGACTGAAGCCTCGGACAAGTCCTATCCTTACTGGTACTAATGTTTTTTTTAGAATAAATTTCAGCGCTATGCCCCTTAGAGGGCGCGTTTTTATCCCGAATTTCTGCTTTCAGTTATATGATGTTTATCACATGTTTGTTTTCCCCTACGCTCCCACGCTTTCGTTTATGATTAACTGGGGTGATCCAACTTCTAAAAGAACCCTCATCTGCCTTTTATTTCTGACCCTTAACTATGTGAAGACGTTTGGCTACAACAGGCTACCAAATGTCCTCCGGTTGAGTAGCTAAAGCCTTTCCGGGATAAACCACTCAGTCTATTTTTGGCCCCCCCCCCACTTCTGGTTATTATGTAACATACAATTCATAGATATATTGCTAGGAGAGCAACAGGCCAAACACAGACAGTTGTTTCACGGTTATCACCGATTGTCAGTACGCCATAGGTCTTTACAGACGCACTCAGTGCTGCCACCATATAAGCCTAACATAAACTATCTGACTGATAATTCCCGTAACTTCGGAAATTTTTTTCTCTTTTAAGGCCATCCGTCATTTTGCTGTGGCTCCAAAGCACCAAGCTTTCTGGCATGCAGCCCGGGACCAGGCAGAGGCTGCTTTGACTTCATTCGGAAAATCCTTGACTTCGCGCTTCCGCTTCCTTGGTGTCCATTTACCCACTCTTCAAGCTGCCTGGAAAGCTGAGGACCGGAAACGCAAGGAGGCGCTTCGACAAAAGCAGATTGCCGCGGGTGAGTTCAGCTCCTTAAGTCTCTTCCTACTGAAAAGCCCTTGGTAGGTGACTTTGACCAAACAAGAATCAGGAGAATTTTACTGTCAGGACGTAAGACTCGAAGTGCAGTTGGAATTGGATTCCCATTTAGCCTCTTCCGTTCACATTGTGAGCAGGCTTGCTCTCTTCATTTCTCAAATGGCATTCAACGGACCTAACCGCGTGTTATGTTCTCTTTTAAGCCTCTGCCGGCAAGAATTCACACGCCACTGACGGGCGCTATGCTGCAAAGTTTTCAGCGAGCACCAAGAAGCAGTCAACAGAGGTTGACATAAAGGCGACAGCAACCGCCGAAGAGAAAAATAAGGTAAGCACTTCTTCATTTTTGTACACAAGCACGCGCCTCTCGCCGGATTTGACGCGCTAAACGTTCTTCTTTTGCTGCTTCTACAGTCCCTCACCGATCGGCAATGGAACTCACTCGTTCCATTCTGTCTTGGCGCTCATTCTCGAGCCCCGCCGGCAACCGCGCCGCGGCAGCTGAATATTGCCGATAGAGACAAGGGAGTCTGGAATTGTCATTTCGGGCTTATTAGCCGTCATCAGCCAGCCATGTCCTACCCCAGGTGGCGAATCATCCGAAGTTCAATCCCGCGACCTGTTGCTTGAAAGTCTCACACTCTAGGCTCGTTGCCACTGG